ATAGCCTTAAAGTACACAATAACAACTGCAGTTTTCGCTCCGTGAGCTCTCCAAATTGTAACTGTGACCAGATAAATAGGGTCGGCTCCCTTAAATATTTGGCCATTATAATAGACGAAAATCTTAACTTTAAAAGTCATATATCGGTGACTTCAGCAAGGGTCCGTAAGCTGATACACACGATGAGACTATTGAGAGATTCTACTGATGGCAGCATTTTAAAGTCCGTCTACCTTGCATTATGTCAGTCCGTACTTAGCTATTGTATACTGGCGTGGGGTGGCATATCCTCATCTACGTTGATAGTACTGGAAAGGGCCCAAAGGGCACTTTTGAAGGTAGCTATGGGTAAATCAAGGCGCTATCATACGTCAGATCTCTTTAGAGAAGCTCAAGTTTTAAGTGTCCGTAGATTGTATCTTCTGAGGGCCTTTACATTTATGCACAGGGAAGCTTCAAAACTGCCGACGTTTAATACATTAATAAATAAAAGAGTGTTTAAGATCCCCACAACCTTAGTTAAAACATCTTTCGCACGTCATTTCAGACTGTTCCAATTCCCTCGCATCTACAACAAATTAGTCAACTTATACGACTTAAAACGATCCCAATTTTATGAGGCTAAAACAAAAATGAGAAGTCATTTATTGACTTGGGACTATGAGAAATCAGAAGAAATATTGGTGACCCTTAAATAGGTGTTAAAACGGTAGTGGACAGCACTAACGCACGCCCTGTCATCCGATCCTAAGAATTTAATCGTGGGGCTACCTAACCACTCAGCTTATCCCCAATTGCAATCTCTCACCCTTTTACTTATAATTTTTAGAGAATTATGTAACAGGCATTCTAGCATACGCTCACACATACACACACACTCACACTCACTCACACACACACACCCACACACACACACACACACACACACACACACACACACACACACACACACACACACACAAATTCATACACATTCACCCACAAGTACACGCGCGCCCCTTTTAATTAGAATTTGTTTGTTATGTCTGTAATTTTTCATAAATTTTTAAGTCATTTTTGCTTTGCTGCGCATAATTGTTTTACGTAATTTCGACAAATAGCCACTTTGATCAATTGTAAGATCTTTTGCTTGACCCCCACGAGACAGGCCATGCCTAGTGTGGGAGTCACAGAACTTACTGTATTTTGGCTACGTGTTTTTTAGTAAATAAATAAATTTATTATTATTATTATTTTTAGTATTTTTATTTGTTTTTATTTCTCCCTCTGTATTGAGGGGTAGAAAACGGACACACGGGCCTTGACCAAGTGTGCACGCAGGAAAAAAAAAGAAAGAATTACAGTGATGACGGTGATGAGTTAAGAAATTTACGTGTGAGACGACAGGTGTTAAGAAGGACTGCTTTTTGTATAAGTGTAAGAGTGGATTTAGGCATTTGAAGCATGTTGAGGCTGGTTTGAAGGGTCTTTGGAACTACACCAGTTGTAGATATGATGATAGGAATGATTTTTACGGAGTCTACTTGCCATTGCCTTTTTATTTCAATAGCCAGGTTTACATACTTTGTCATTTTTTTCCGAATGTGTAGTAATGAGGTTGTGTGTGTTGCAAACTGCTATGTCTATTATAAAAACAGATTTTTTAATTTTGTCTAGTATTGTTATGTCCGGTCTATTGTAATGTATATTCTTGTCTGTTATAATTGTCCTGTCCCAATATATTTTGACGGAATCACTTTCTAAAATAGTGCTGGGAATATATTTATAATAAGCGACCTTTTTTAAAATGAATGAATGTTTGTGGGCCAGGTTTTGGTGGACAATTGCAGCAACTTGGTCATGTCTATGTTTGTAGTCAGTTTGAACTATAGATTTACATGCACTGTAATATGTTGAATTGTTTCTGAGCTACTGTGACATCGTCTACACAAGTCAGTTGGAGGGCTGGGAATATGAATAATGTGTTTTTGATAGTTACGAGTATCTATTACTTGGTCCTGAATAGCAATTACAAAAGCCTCTGTCTCTGGGAAGAGTTCTCCGCGTCGGAGCCACTCGTTCGACGCTTGCCTGTCGACATGTGCATGACCGAGATCGGCAAAGTGCCTACCATGCAGAAACTTTTGTGACCACAAATCTATTTTCTGCTGTTTACTTACTATTTTGAGCTGAAAATTTCTGTCATTTAGATTAAGAGGAGTTAATTTTTTTGTCTATACCTACAATATATTTGTGCAGTTGCGAATGTTCAGATTTTACATAGAAATATTTGCGAAATTTGTCTATTAGACTGTTGTGTAAATTTTGTATATCGATGATGCCTCTCCCTCCATCTTGGCGTGGTAATGTGAGACGCTGTGTACATGATCTGGGGTGGTGTTTTCTGTTTACTGTCATATTTGTATTAATTGTGCGTTGAAGTTTAACTAAATCACTCTGAGACCAATTTATTAATCCAAAAGAATAGATGAGAATGGGTATCGCGTAGTAGCGGTAGTCGCGTAGTGGTAGTCGCGTATTTATGGCTTTTATAATATTGCGTGAATTTAGCTGAGTTCTTAATATTTGGTTTATTCTAATTTAAAATTTTTTAGTTAAGTCTATTTTTTTGCTTGTTTTTGATGTGTCTGTTTGGACTGATAAAATCCTAAATATTTATATGTGCTATGTTCGTCCATGGGCTCTATTTGTTCACCAGTACTGAGTATATATGTATTGTTTATTGATTTTCCGCGAATGATAGAATGTACTTTGCATTTATCAACACCAAATTGCATTTTTATGTCTGTAGAAAATGACTGTGTTAAGTCTGCTAGTTTTGTAAGTTCAGTGTTGTTGGTTGCATAAATTTTTATGTCGTCCATATACAGTAAATTATTTATTTATTATTATTATGTGGGGTATCTATATAGTTTTCTCATCTGGTTGGGATGTATAAATATATAATTATAAATGAAAATGAAAAGATAAATATACATAAATATCAATAAAATAAAATAAATACAAAAATACATAAATAAATAAAAGCCCAACCAGAAGGAAGCCCTCGGCAGGGGAGACCAAACGGCCGAGGGTTAGGGGGAAAGGGAAAGAAACCGGCGGACGATGCGGGCGGTATCGAGGAGCGCCGCCTTCTGCATTTGAGCCCGGAGCGGTCCGTCATGGAGTCAAAGTCGCCTCAGATGGCCCGAGACGCTTGCTGGGATTAACCCGTTTGCAGACACGACTACAGGAATAATTTCGGTCAGCAGACCACGCCACATGTCGGTCACCTCGTGAGCCAGGTCCAGATATTTTGTTTGCTTATCTGTTTCGGCTTTCACGAGGTTCTCGTCACACGGAATGGTAATATCGACCAAAAATATCCTTGACTGTGCCCGGTCCATCAGCACAATATCACGCTTATTCGCAAGAATAGTCCTGTCTGTGATGATGGCTCGGTCCCAATAGAGCCTGGCGCGATCATTTTAGAGCACGGCTTCCGGCAAGTACTTGTAATACGGCAACTTCCGATCCACGAAACCGTATTTCAGAGCGAGCTCCTGGTGTAGAATTCTGGCTACTAGGTTGTGCCTGTGCAAGTACTCGGAGTTAGAAAGCGCCGAACAACCGGAGATGACATGCCTAAGTGACTCACCGGGATGGCGACAAGCTCGACAGATGTCGATGGTGCCATCCTTTAGGATGTATCTCCGATAGTTGTTGGTCTTAATAAACTGATCCTGTATTGCACAGACAAAACCCTCGGTTTCCCCGAAGAGGTCACCAAAGCGTAGCCAGTGGAGAGAGGCGACTGTATCTACGAAGGGCTCATGAAGAGCCCTGTAGTACCTCCCGTGGAGCTCCTTCTCCTTCCATACGGTCTCCCGGTCGGAAATGCTAAGCACTGCTGGGTCCTGCCATTGCTCGTGGGCTAAGGATAGAGGGGTAAGCCCTTTATCACTAGAAATGACGTAATTATAGAATGGATCATCCGATCTCGCCAGGAAGTAATCACGGAGGCTGCACACTTCGCGATTATGCATTGTGAGCGCGCTCAAAAAACCACGCCCACCGTGCTTTCGCGGCAAGTACAGCCTCATTACCGACGATCTCGGATGATGCATCCTATGGGACGTCATGGTAGTGCGGACTTTTCTATCCAGGGCGTTAAGTTCGGTCTGAGTCCACCTGAGTATGCCAAAGGTATATATGAGGACAGGCATGACCCAACCGTTATATGCGTGTGTCTTATTCACACCGGACAAAAGGCTGTTAAGCACTTTGGTCAAGCGTGCATAAAACACGTCGCAAACTGACTGTTTCATACCAGCCTCATCGATACCGATGTTCTGTGACATACCCAGGTATCGGTATGTTTCAGCCTCGGAAAGGGTCTTTAAGTTGACGGGCATAGATTAATCTATGCCCTCAGAGTTAGCAACCCTTCCCCTTTCAACATGAAGGACCGCACAATTATCCGTCCCCAGCTCCATTCCAATGGAATTGCTAAATTCACAAGTGATGTTTAGCAATTCCATAAGATGGGAGCGACTGGAGGCGAATAACTTGAGGTCATCCATATAGAAAAGGTGGGTCACTTTTGTTCCTCCTTTCCGTAGCTGAAATCCTCTCCCGGAGCCCTCCAGTAAGGTACTGAGAGGGTTCAGAGAGAGGCAGAACCAGATTGGACTCAGACAATCGCCCTGGAAGATACCCCTTATTCTTATGTGGTTTTCCGCAGCCATCATCCGCTCGCCCTGATAACAGAGGATCGTACTCCACTGCCCCATACACTGCTCGAGGAAGTCTCTAACTGTACAGTCAATCTTGTACAGCTCGAGGACCCTCTTTAGCCATGCATGGGGCACCGAGTCGAATGCTTTTCTGTAGTCTATCCAGGCGGCGGAGAAGTTCCGACGGTTGCGTTTCACCACTTTGCCAATGACCGCGTCAATGAGGAGTGGTTCCTTGGTTCCACGACCACCACCCCGACATCCATTTTGATCGCGTGACATCACCTAATTTAGCTCCAGGTGACGAGTGATTCTCGCGCTCAAAATGGATGTCATTGTCTTATATATAGTGGGTAGACACGTGATGGGGCGGTATTTGCTCGGGTCTGTGGTATCCTGATCTTTAGGAACCAAGTGAGTGATCCCAGTAGTGAAGAGGCTCGGGAGCGACTTCTGATCGAGAGCCTCTTGATACTGTCGGGCGAGCACAGCGTGACACACTACGAACCCCTTCAGCCAGTAATGATGCAGCCCGTCGAGCCCCGGACTTTTCCAGTTCGGGGCCCTACGGACCGCCTCAGCCACGTCTTCAGGCGTTATGGTGACGGGGTCCATAGGCGTAACACTTGCACTCTGGCTCGCCACAACTTCCATCCAAGGGCCCTCGCTGTGGTTTACGGGCTCTGACCACAGGCCACGCCAAAATGCGACAGTGTCAGCCTGATCCTGTCCTGGGCCAGCTCCACATACATCTGGTCGCTCCAATGATTTATAGAGCCTCTTCTGATCACTCTGGAAGAGATGATTTTGGTTCAACCGCCTTGACCTCTCGCTAAATCGTCGAATCCGCTTCCCCCAAGCAGCGATTTTTTGCTTCAGGTCATCTATGCGCTCCGTTAGTTTCTGCGTGATATCCGGCTGGGACAAACTAATATTTGTCCCAGCAAACGCCATTCTAACGGTGCGCACAACTCTCGGTCTAATATTACCCGACCTGAAGCTTGTCAGTCTGCCGATAAGGGCCCTTGACTTTGCCATACGGTCCTCGATTCTTTTTCTCCAGGCTGGGATGGCACTACCTTGTTGAGTAGCACGTCCAGCCATGGGAAGTTTGGCGCTAATAATACGGCATACTGCCAGTGCGGCGCCATAAAGAATTGAGTCCGTCTCGCAAAGGTCCCGGCTGGCTTCCAAATAGGTCACCAGCATTGGGTTAAGAGCCCGATTTCGCTTGCTAAGGGGTATGCGGGGAAGTCGCGGTCGATTTTCGAGAGGCATGCTGCGCGTTTCCAGCATCGACTCTTCCAATATGCTACTCATTTTCTCTAGTTCGTGGGGGACTATTCCATCATCGTCTAAATCAACCACAAATGGAATATTGACGGCAGCGTCCAAATTTGCAGTTTGCTGCGCAATTAGTGGCGCCGCATTCCCAGCCGTAGCATTTCCATCCGATGAGGGAACAGCCTCACGTCGTAGTCGTTCGAGTTCGGCGTCACCAAATATGTTGGAGCGCAGGATGTACCGAACTCGGTCTGCCAGGTTTTGCTCAGTGACGGATAGAGATGGCTCCAGCTCTGCATAAAAGCGATGCATCCGAGCCCGATATGCCAAACATCCGGTTTCTTCCCCTTTTGCCCTAAAGTACGCCCGCAGTGCGTTTGCGTTCATTGTTTGTGACCAACGCATGCGACGTGCTCCACCAGCGGCGGGTGCCGCTTGCTGAGTCCGAGAAGGTCCAGCCGACACCAAGCCTTCTGGTGGGGATGATGGATGCGGAGGGCTGCTAGGTGATCGTACAGCTCCTCGCGCTCGGCTGGCGGCCCGCATGCTGCCGCGTCCAGCGCCAGCTCCAGACGCGCCCCGGCGACCCCCAGGCAGCGGACCTATGCGCGTTCCTCTTTGTACCATCATCCATTTATGGGCGCCATATAACGGGAGACGCCCAAGCCTGGCACCGTTTCGTGGTTCGTTCATATGCACAAACGGATCTTTGCACCCACAATTTTGCCTAGGCACGGCGCTCACAACTCTTGGCAGGGCGCTGACTGACTGCGCCGACGTAGTAGTTTTGTCACATAACTGTTACGTCAGCGGGCGATGGGGTCGTCACTTCCCTACGCCTTTTTATTATTATTATGGGGTATCTATATAGTTTTCTCATCTGGTTGGGTTCTATAAATATATAATTATAAATGAAAATGAAAAAATAAATATACATAAATATCAATAACATAAAATAAATATAAAAGTACATAAATAAATAAAAGCCCAACCAGATGGAGGCCCTCGGCAGGGGAGACCAAACGGCCGAGGGTTAGGGGGAAAGGGAAAGAAACCGGCGGACGATGCGGGCGGTATCGAGCAGCACCGCCTTCTGCATTTGAACCTGGAGCGGTCCGCCACGTAGTCCCAGCCGCCTCAGATGACCCGAGAGGCTGACTGGGATTAGCCCGTTTGCAGAGACGACTACAGGAATAATTTCGGTCGGCAGACCACCCCACATGTCGGTCACCTCGTGAGCTAGGTCCAGATATTTTGTTTGCTTGTCTGTTTCGGCTTTCACGAGGTTCTCGTCATACGGAATGGTAATGTCGACCAAAAATATCCTTGACTCTGCCCGGTCCATCAGCACAATATCAGGCTTATTCGCAAGAATAGTCCTGTCTGTGATGATGGCCCGGTCCCAATAGAGCCTGGCGCGATCATTTTCGAGCACGGCTTCCGGCAAGTACTTGTAGTACGGCAATTTCCGGTCCACGAGACCGTATTTCAGAGCGAGCTCCTGGTGTAGAATTCTGGCTACTAGGTTGTGCCTTTGCAAGTACTCAGAGTTAGAAAGCGCCGAACAACCGGAGATAACATGCCTAAGTGACTCACCGGGATGGCGACAAGCTCGACAGATGTCGACGGTGCCATCCTTTAGGATGTATCTCCGATAGTTGTTGGTCTTAATAACCTGATCCTGTATTGCACAGACAAAACCCTCGGTTTCCCCCGAAGAGATCACCAAAGCGTAGCCAGTGGAGGGAGGCTACTGTGTCTACGAAAGGCTCATGTAGAGCCTTGTAGAACCTCCCGTGGAGCTCCTTCTCCTTCCATACGGTCTCTCGGTCGGAAATGCTCTGCACTGCCGGGTCTTGCCATTGCTCGCTGGCTAAGGATAGAGGGGTAAATCCTTTATCACAAGAAATGACGTCCATATAGAATGGATCATCCGATCTCGCCAGGAAGTAATCACGGAGGCTGCACACTTCGCGATTATGCATGGTGAGCGCGCTCAAGAAGCCACGACCACCATGCTTCCGCGACAAGTACAACCTCATTACCGACGATCTCGGATGATGCATCCTATGGGACGTCATGGTATTGCGGACTTTTCTATCCAGGGCGTTAAGTTCAGTCTGAGTCCACCTGAGTATGCCAAAGGTATACATGAGGACAGGCTTGACCCAGCCGTTATATGCGTGTGCCTTATTCACACCGGGCAAAAGGCTGTTAAGCACTTTGGTCAAGCGTGCATAAAACACGTCGCAAACTGACTGTTTCATACCAGTCTCATCGATACCGATGTTTTGTGACATACCCAGGTATCGGTATGTTTCAGCCTCGGAAAGGGTCCTTATTTTGACGGGCATAGATAAGTCTACGCCCTCAGAGTTAGCAACCCTTCCCCTTTCAACATGGAGGACCGCACACTTATCCGTCCCAAGCTCCATTCCAATGGAATTGCTAAATTCACAAGTGATGTTTAGCAATTCCATAAGATGGGAGCGACTGGAGGCGAATAACTTGAGGTCATCCATATAGAAAAGGTGGGTCACTTTTTGTCCCTCCTTTCCGTAGCTGAAATCCCCTCCCGAAGCCCTCCAGTAAGGTACTGAGAGGGTTCAGAGAGAGGCAGAACCAGATTGGACTCAGACAATCGCCCTGGAAGATACCCCTTCTTATCCTTATGTGGTTCTCCGCAGCCATCATCCGCTCGCCCAGATGACAAAGGATCGTACTCCACTGCCCCATACACTGCTCAAGGAAGTCTCTAACTGTACAGTCTATCTTGTCTCAGCTCGAGGACTCTCTTTAGCCATGTATGGGGCACCGAGTCGAATGCCTTTCTGTAGTCTATCCAGGCGGCGGAGAAGTTCCGACGGTTGCGTTTCACCACTTTGCCAATGACCGCTTCAATGAGGAGTGGTTCCTTGGTTCCACGACCACTGCCCCGACATCCATTTTGAGCGCGCGACATTTACAGTTATTTACAGACATTATTATTATTATGTGGGGTGTCTATATAGTTTTCTCATCTGGTTGGGATATATATAAATATATAATTATAAATGAAAATGAAAAGATAAATATACATAAATATCAATAAAATAAAATAAATACAAAAATACATAAATAAATAAAAGCCCAACCAGATGGAAGCCCTCGGCAGGGGAGACCAAACGGCCAAGGGTTAGGGGGAAAGGGAAAGAAACCGGCGAACGATCCGGGCAGTATCAAAGAAGCACCGCCTTCTGCATTTGAGCCCGGAGCGGTCCGTCACGGAGTCCCAGTCGCCTCAGATTATCAGAGAGGCTAACTGGGATTAGCCCATTCGCAGAGACGACTATAGGAATAATTTCGGTCGGCATACCACCCCACATGTCGGTCACCTCGTGAGCCAGGTCCAGATACTTTGATTGCTTATCTGTTTCGGCTTTCACGAGGTTCTCGTCATACGGGATGGTAATATCGACCAAAAATATCCTTGACTGTGCCCGGTCCATCAGCACAATATCAGGCTTATTCGCAAGAATAGTCCTGTCTGTGATGATGGCCCGGTCCCAGTAGAGCCTGGCGCGGTCATTTTCGAGCACGGCTTCTGGCAAGTACTTGTAATACGGCAATTTCTGGTCCACGAGACCGTATTTCAGAGCGAGCTTCTGGTGTAGAATTCTGGCTACTAGGTTGTGCCTGTGCAAGTACTCAGAGTTAGAATGCGCAGAACAACCGGAGATGACATGCCTAAGTGACTCACCGGGATGGCGACAAGCTCGACAGACGTCGAAGGTGCCATCCTTTAGGATGTATCTCCGATAGTTGTTGGTCTTAATAACCTGATCCTGTATTGCACAGACAAAACCCTCGGTTTCCCCCGAAGAGGTCACCGAAACGCAGCCAGTTGAGGGAGGCGACTGTATCTACGAAGGGCTCATGCTCAGAGCCCTGTAGTACCTCCCGTGGAGCTCTTTCTCCTTCCATACGGTCTCCCGGTCGGAAATGCTAAGCACTGCTGGGTCCTACCATTGCTCGTTGGCTAAGGATAGAGGGGTAAGCCCTTTATCACTAGAAATGACGTCATTATAGAATGGATCATCCGATCTCGCCAGGAAGTAATGACGGAGGCTGCACACTTCACGATTATGCATGGTGAGCGCGCTCAGAAAGCCACGCCCACCATGCTTTCGCGGCAAGTACAGCCTCATTACCGACGATCTCGGATGATGCATCCTATGGGACGTCATGGTAGTGCGGACTTTTCTATCCAGGGCATTAAGTTCAGTCTGACTCCATCTGAGTATGCCAAAGGTATACATAAGGACAGGTATGACCCAACCGTTATATGCGTGTGTCTTATTCACACCGGACAAAAGGCTATTAAGCACTTTGGTCAAGCGTGCATAAAACACGTCGCAAACTGACTGTTTCATACCAGCCTCATCGATACCGATGTTCTGTGGCATACCCAGGTATCGGTATGTTTCAGCCTCGGAAAGGGTCCTTAAGTTGACGGGCATAGATAAATCTATGCCCTCAGAGTTAGCAACCCTTCCCCTTTCAACATGGAGGTCCGCACACTTATCCGTCCCCAGCTCCATTCCAATGGAATTGCTAAATTCACAAGTGATGTTTAGCAATTCCATAAGATGGGAGCGACTGGAGGCGAATAACTTGAGGTCATCCATATAGAAAAGGTGGGTCACTTTTGCCCCTCCTTTCCGTAGCTGAAATCCTCTCCCGGATCCCTCCAGTAAGGTACTGAGAGGGTTCAGGGAGAGGCAGAACCAGATTGGACTCAGACAGTCGCCCTGGAAGATACCCCTTCTTATCCTTATGTGGTTCTCCGCAGCCATCATCCGCTCACCCAGATGACAAAGGATCGTACTCCACTGCCCCATACACTGCTCGAGGAAGTCTCTCACTGTACAGTCTATCTTGTACAGCTCGAGGACTCTCTTTAGCCATGTATGGGGCACCGAGTCGAATGCCTTTCTGTAGTCTATCCAGGCGGCGGAGAAGTTCCGACGGTTGCGTTTCACCACTTTGCCAATGACCGCGTCAATGAGGAGTGGTTCCTTGGTACCACGACCACCGCCCCGACATCCATTTTGAGCGCGTGACATCACCTGATTTAGCTCCAGGTGACGAGTGATTCTCGCGCTCAAAATGGATGTCAGTGTCTTATATATGGTGGGTAGACACGTAATGGGGCGGTATTTGCTCGGGTCTGTGGTAACCTGGTCTTTAGGAACCAAATGAGTGATCCCAGTAGTGAAGAGGCTAGGGAGCGACTTCTGGTTGAGAGCCTCTCGAAACTGACGGGCGAGCACAGCGTGAAACACCATGAACCCCTTCAGCCAGTAGTGATGCAGTCCGTCGAGTCCCGGACTTTTCCAGTTCGGGGCTCTACGGACCGCCTCAGCTACGTCGTCCGGCTTTATGATGACGGGGTCCATGGGCGTAATACTCGCACACTGACTCGCCACAACTTCCGTCCAAGAGCCCTCGCTGTGGTTTACGGGCTCTGACCACAGGCCACGCCAAAATGCGACAGTGTTAGCCTGATCCGGTCCTGGGCCCGCTCCACATACCTCTGGTCGCTCCAATGATTTGTAGAGCCTCTTCTGATCACTCTGGAAGAGACGATTCTGGTTGAACCGCCTTGACCTCTCGGTAAATCGGCGAATCCGCTTCCCCCAAGCAGCAATCTTTTGCTTCAGGTCGTCTATGCGCTCCGTTAGTTTCTGCGTGATATCCGGCTGGGACAAACTGATTTTTGTCCCAGCAAACGCCATTCTAACGGAGCGCACAACCCTCGGTCTATTATTACCCGACCTGAAGCTCATCAGTCTGCCGATAAGGGCCCTTGCCTTTGCGATACGGTCCTCAATTCTTTTTCTCCAGGCTGGGATGGCGCTACTTTGTTTAGTAGCGCGTCCAGCCAGGGGAAGTTTGGCGCCAATAATACGGCAAGCTGCCACTGCGGCGCCAAAAAGAACTGAGTCCGTCTCGCAAAGGTCCCGGCTGGCTTCCAAATAGGTTACCAGCATAGGGTTAAGAGCCCTCACGACAGCCCGATTTCGCTTGCTTAGAGGTATGCGGGGAAGTCGCGGTCGATTTTCGAGAGGCATGGTGCGCGTTTCCAAAATCGCCTCTTCCAGTATACTCCTCATTTGCTCTAGTTCGTGGGAGACCATTTCATCATCGTCGGAATCAACCACAACTGGAAGATCCATGGCAGCTTCTACGCGTGGCAGCTGGTCTGTCGCCTGAGGAGCCGCATCCCCAGCCGTAGCCAATTCATTCGATGAGGGAATGGCCTCACGCCGTAGTCGTTCGAGCTCGGCATCATCAAATATTTTCGAGCGCATGATGTACCGAACTCGGTCTGCCAGGTTTTGTTCCGTGACGGGAATAGACGGCTCCAGCTCAGCAAAAAAAATTATTATTATTATTATTATTATGCGGGGTATCTATATAGTTTTCTCATCTGGTTGGGATGTATTATTATTATTATTATTATTATTATTATATATATATGCACACCGCTGGGTACCCACAACACAGTTTTCCAGGCCGAATGCATGGGTATCATCCAAGCGGAAATAGCAATAGATGCTAGGAAGGTGAAAGACTTCTCCATCAGAATACTGACCGACAGTATGGCGGTACTACAAGCTCTGAGTTGCAATGTGACGAACTCGGGACTGATACACGAGTGCCATCAACGATTGAATGAGGTATGTAAGTACAACAATGTGACTCTGCAATGGATCAAGGGACACAGTGGATCTAGAGGCAATGATGCAGCAGATGAACTGGCCAGAAGGGGATCGGCCCTAGCAACTATAGGGCCGGAACCAATAATACCAATCCCCTTTGGCTACGTTCGTTCACTGGTACGTAGATACTTCAATAATTTACACGCTCAGCTTTGGAAAAATTTAGTAGACTGTAGACAAGCTAGGGAGGCCCTAAATGAAATAAACAGTCGTCTAACCAAGGTTCTAATGAGACTGAACAAGCCACAGATCAGGATAGTAACAAGTGCTATCACAGGACATGGCTCTTTTAACAAACATTTGTTCACCATAGGTGTTACTAACAGCCCCCTGTGCAGGGCATGCATGGGAGAGGAAGAAACGGCGGCTCACGTATTGCTGACATGTCCAGAAGTCGCTTCATACAGGGCTAAACATCTCGGCACGCCGGGATCGCTCCCCGAAGTTGCTTGCAACATCTAGGGACTGCTGAGCTTCTTCGGGGAGATATCATGGCTCGAATAAGCATATTATTCCTGCCCACACGCAAAATACGCGCTTAGACGTGGAGTTGCGGAAAACAGCCCGTCGTAAACTAAACTAAACTAAACTAAATCCCGCATAGTTTAAGAGATTATAGCAAAGCTGAGCTTACTGCGGCTTCTCGTAAATTGAGCTACTTGCTTAAAGACCACTGTTACAGATGTACAGGTATTATTTGGACAAATAGAAATGAAACAACATCTTCCTAATAACAACTTAAATATACTGTTGCGCGCCTAAGTTGACGTCATGTTGTGACAGGGATGAGAGCGGGGGGGGGGGACTTTCCAGAAAATGACATCACTAATCTTTCAACCGACAACGCCATCTAGTGTCGAAACGAAGAACTAAGCTTCTAGAAGCCGACACTCGAAATTTCGACGCCTTGCGCGTATTTACTTGAATGTTCTGGATGTTTCGGTGCTAATGTGTATTTATAGGCGCTGCAAGGTGCGATCGGGGAAGTATTGAATTTGGCAAGACAAGCGAAGCTTCGGAGCGAAATAAAGTGAATCAGGGTGATTAATTATTAGTGTTTTAAGTTTTAATTGGTGTTCGGGAATAAAAGTGTAAATTTTGGTGATTCAATCGGCAGTTTTTATTGTCACGAACCTGAAGCTCGTAACAATTGGTGTCAGAAGTGGGATAAAATCATGTCGATTTTACCGAGGAAACTGAGGGTGTCCGTACCCGAAGTCAACGCCAGCAGGAGACGGACCAAAGAAGATTTGGTGGTGCAACGCCGCAGACGTTGGAGGGCCAGCTGCCGGCTGCAGGCCCTGTCAGTAGCTCCTACATCTGCTGCACCTGACTTAGGTGCTCTTATGGTGATGCTGCAGGAGCAGGCTCGCCGACAGGAGGAACAGGCTCGCCCACAGGAGGAACAGGCTTGCCAACAGGAGAAACAGGCTCGCCGACAGGAGGAACAGGCTCGACGACAGGAGGAACAGGTCCGTCAGTTCAAAGAGCAGTTGCAGAGCGGACAAGAGGAACAGGTCCGTCGTTTGAAAGAGCAGCTGCGGGGTGGACAAGAGGAACAGGCCCGTCGGTTAGAAGAGCAGATGCTCCTCATAAAGGAACTTCACGCTACCTTCGGGAAGGAGATCAAGGAGGTGAAGGATAGGGTTGCTCAGCATGACAAACGACTGTCAGAAGCTGAAACCCAAATCGCGAAAGCTGAAACCCGAATCGAGAAAGCTGGGTTTCATTCAGTTTCAGAATCAACCAAGTGAACAATCGGGTTGACAACGTGATGGCTGACGTGAAGAAAACGCTGGACGAGCTTAAACTGGGGGATGGAGTAACAGCTCCCGTAGTAGTTACAACACCTTCGCTACGTGGGATCAAAGTGCCACCGTTCGACGGGACTTCTTCCTGGTCAGCTTACAAAATCCAGTTTGAAGCCGTTATGAAGGCGAACGGCTGGAATAAGTCAGGCCATGACTGCTCTCACACTAGGCCTGCGCGATCAGGCCTTAACTGTTCTGGAAGCTCTCGGTGAGGAAGTGACTTATGAGCAGCTCCTTGAGGCATTGGAGGCGAGATATGGCGACGCTCACCTGAAACAGGTCTTTCGTGCACAGCTTAAAGATCGCATGCAGTGCATCAATGAAAACCTGCAGCAGTGGGCTCTAGAGGTGGAGAAGCTGATGCGAAAAGCATACCGGTCTGTACCTGCGCTCATTGAAGGGAACCTGGTGCAGACATTCATCGACGGCTACCGCGACCTTGAATTCAGAGCTGCTGTGAGGCTGGGGCACCACGAAACGTTTAAGGACTCCTTGGCCCATGCACTGGAGCCGTTCCCATCGCATCAGGGAGGTAGTAGCAGCTACAGTTCGCGACCGCAACAATGGATACAGCCCTAGTTGCTATGGCTGTGGGGAAAGGGATCATCTTAGATCCAGCTGCACTGAGCGAACTATAGAAAAGGAAGTTGATCGATCTCGAGAGGGTAGTGCAGCTAACGGCACCACCTGGCGGCGGCAGGATAATCGCTTGTTGCAGCAGTTACGGTTCGCGACCACGATAATGGATACAGCCTAGGTGCTATGGCTGTGGGGAAAGGGACCATCTTCGATCCAGCTGCCCTAACGAACCCTATAAAGGGAACGTGAACGATCTCAGAAAGGAAGTGCGGCTAACATCACCGCCCAGCAGCAGCCGGGATACGACTTTACTATCAGACATCGCAGCGGGAAATCTCATGGCAACGCAGATGCAGTATCAAGAAGACCTTGCCCTGAATATTGGAAACATTGTACCAGGCAAGAGAGTAAGGAAGTGGTATCCGTGAGGATGCTTAGGACAGACCACCTTAGCAACGAGTGAAAGGACAGCCTACGACATGCACAGCAGGAAGATCTGGACATCAAGCCGATTCTGGAATGGATGAAGGCCAGTGCTCCCAAGCCCAAGTGGAGGGACGTCTCAGCGATGAGTTCGACCACTAAAAGCTATTGGGCCCAGTGGGACAGCTTGCTGCTTCAGGATGGAGTTCTGTGCCGTAAATGAGAAAATGTTCGGGGAGACAGCTGTCATTTGCAAATGGTTGTCCCTAAAGCTAAAGTACCGGATGTTCCATAATGATTGTTCAGGAGGCCATCTGGGAGTTAAACGAACTCTACTGAAGATCCGAGAACGGTTTTACTGGGTCCAATGTCGAAACGACGTCGAGGACTGGTGCCGCAAATGTACAAGTTGTGCGGCTGTAAAGGGACCTCAGACTCGTAGTAGAGGTGCGTTGAAGTTGTACAATGTTGGTGCACCTTGGGAGAGAATAGCCATTGACGTGGCGGGGCCGTTTCCGGAGAGCGAAAGTGGTAACAAGTATTTCATGGTTGTGATGGATTACTTCACTAAGTGGCCAGAAGTCTTCGCCATTCCAAATCAAGAAGCTTCAACAGTTGCAGATAAACTAGTTCATGAAGTCTTCTGTTGTTTTGGAGTACCTTTAGAGATTCATAGCGATCAAGGAAGGAATTTTGAATCTCAAATATTCTAAGAAACTTGCCAAGTTATGGGTACTCATAAAACAAGAACGACTACTTATCACCCGCAATCTGATGGAATGGTAGAACGATTTAATCATACATTGGAGAGGTACCTAGCAAAAGTTGTAGACAATCAGCAACGAGATTGGGACAAGCACATACAACCGTTTTTGTTGTCATATCGAAGCGCTGTTCACTAAAGTACAGCAGTTACACCAGCTTTCGCAAACTTTGGAAGAGAATTACGGCAGCCTGCAGACCTGATCACCGGGATACCACCTGATGCACCACGCAGTATAAACGATTATGCAAATGACTTGCGGAACAAAATGAATGACATTTATGAGCACATCAGACAATCGGGCCAGCAAATGTCTGAGAGGATGAAAACCCGGTATGACCGCAAAATGAACAATAAACTTTTTTTCACTACTGTGGTTGCACAATCCAGTCCGCAGCATAAGGAAATCTCCTAAGCTGGAATGTAACGAGGATCAACGATGTAACCTACCGGATACAGAAAGGCGCAAGAGAGACTCCAAAGATCGTCCATGTGGATCGCTTGGCGCGTTATTATGGGGCCGATAATGCTCGGGACGAGCATGTCTTAGGAGGGGGCAGTGTTGCTCGCCTAAGCTGACGTCATTTTGTGACAGGGACGAGAGCGGGGGAAACTTTCCAGAAAATGACATCACTAATCTTTCAACCGACAGCGCCATCTAGTGTCGAAACGAAGAACTAAGCTTCTAGAAGCCGAAACTTGAACTTTCGACGCCTTGTGCGTATTTACTTGAATGTTCTGGATGTTTCGGTGCTAATGTGTATATATAGGCGCTGCAAGGTGCGATCGGGGAAGTATTGAATTTGGCGAGACAAGCGAAGTTTCGGAGCGAAATAAAGTGAATCAGTGTGATTAATTATTAGTGTTTTAAGTTTTAATTGGTGTTCGGGAAAAAAAGTGTAAATTTTAGTGATTAAATCGGCAGTTTTTATTGTCACGAACCTCAAGCTCGTAACAATACGAAAAAATCTGCAGTTGCAAACCTGCGTCGCCTGCCAGGCGGCGTTTCTGTG